AACATACTTACCGCCCAATGGATTTGAGCCAGATCCACCAGCGGATCCGACTTCTCGAACCGGGGGGGAATGCTGAGCACAGGGCCAACCGCCCGCAGAGCTGCCTGCGCCGTTTGACTGTTACACGCCGCGCCAGTGTGCAACCGCACGTCGCGGTAATAGTCAATACCCGGAACGCCTAACAGATCGGAAATCTTCCGCTGCGCAGTGGCTCCAGAAGTGCTTGGAGTCGCCAGCCTTTCCGGGTGGGGGGGAGTTACCCACCCGCACCTCGGGATCGACAATGATCAGAGGCTGCTGGCGTGCCTCCTGCACGCGTGCCTCCTGCACTGGAACCTCTCGTCCCTGTGGCTCCGCAACCCGCGCAGCCTTCTTCGGGTTCCCATCACCCTGCTCCCTCTCTGGCTCCGACTCCTTCCTCTTCCCGCCAGCCATGGGGGCACTGATGGGCTGCCCCCGATCCCGCCTCTTTGTACTGGCAGCCGGCGCGTTGCTACTCTGCGCCCCCTCCTTCTGCTTCTTCTTCCCCTTCCGCGAAGCGCGAGGCGCCTTCGCAACGTTATCTACCGACATCATGCTCGCGAGGTCGGCGAAATCAACACCTGCACCAAAATATCGTAAGAAACCGGTTAAATATGACAGAATGCAAAGGGAAAGGAAAATAACTAACCATCAGCAAAAAGCTCTTGCAAGATGGCCTCGCGAACTCCGCGCGTGTAGAGATTCATCTTCTGATTCAAACACGCTTGATACTCTTTTTCAAGCCCATCATACGCGCCGACGTGGGACTCAAACTTAAGGGTACTACCCTTCTTCCACACCGTGGGCTCATCCACGTGCTCGCTCGCCCACTCCCCCGGAACCGGCCTAACGTAGAAGAAGCGCTCAAACCACGTCTTCTTCAGTTTGGGGGAGCCATACACGAACCCATCAGGCCTGTTGTCGCGCCGCTTTATGGACAAACAGTCACTCGTCTTGCTCGGCTCCTTGATCTTGTAAAACTTGCGGAACAGCCCATACGTGGGCTGGATGTTAAGCCGCTTACAAGCGAGGCGCAAGCAGGAAGCATGCATCACGATGGATGGAGAGAGGCGCCCAACCGAGCAGTTGAGCCGCCTGTATAAGGCGCACAACAATGGGTCGATGGGAAACTTGAAGCCCATCACCCAGTACTCGCTGTACACCCCAAACCACCCTGGGGGGCAATTACCCACTGTACTCCGAACTGAGGGCACCGCGTACTCCCAGTGCGGAGGCAAACCCAGCCCGCGCACGATGTCCTCTACTTCCTCGCGCGAGTAAATTGAGCCGTGATCGGGTCCCCGCAGCAAGTTGTCGTGCGGAGCCGGCTGATCGCCCCACATCTCCGCCCAGTCGAGGACGGTGTAGGCCGCGTCCACGTAACGAGGGCCCAGACGGCTCATCCCCTCGGTTATGCGTACCACGTTGACCGGCTCTGCAATCACCGGCGCTGACTGAGTGTCAGAATCCTCGCGCTCGTCCGCGTCCGCAGTACTAACACCCTCCGCGACCCCAGACCCCCCATCGCGGTCGCGCCGGATTATCAGGACGCCTCGAGGCTGCGTGCTCGGTCCCTCGCCCCCGTGGACTACTGCATCTTCATCCGCCTCTGTCTCTCCGAGGACGAAGTCAGGATCCGAGTCGACTCCGGCCGACGGCGTGGACGGAGCTCCGCCGTCCCCAGACCCACCGCCATATTCGCCGCCGGAATTCGCCAATTCCAGCGACGGATCAGAAGAAATACGGGAAAGGGGGGAAACATTACCTTCTTCGTCTTGTACGATCTCAACCTCGCCGACGTTGGTGTTGGTGTTGTCCATGATAGCAATAAGCAACAGAGAAGAACAACGAGTGAAGATTTAAGATTGTAAAAGAAGGAGAAGAATCTCGGCGAAAAACCAGAGCACGAGAAGGAAAGAGCAGGACTCAGATGAAAGAATGAGGCAGAATGAATCCCACCCCCCACAACGTGGTGATACTTATAGTTATTAGGGGTAAGTCGAAAGGTTAAAGTAACCTCGAAGATCGCAACCGTCAGACGTTTCGAATTTCAAAATTCGCCCGCCCAAACGGACAAACCAGGTAAGGACACGTGGACACCTATTCGAAGTAGGTACTAGCCGCCGACGGGACAAGTTCCGCACGGCGCCTGGGGGGCATAGCACACCCGCGAGGAAAAAGAAAATCTCACAAAGATCGCACGCACGATTCAGGGAAAAAGAAAAATCTCACCAAGATCGCGCGCACGAATCCGGGAAAGAGAAAAATCCCAAATCGTGCGCGCGATTCGAAGTCCCGACTCCGAAGATCTCGCTCAAGCAGGCAACTACAACAGAACCTCTCGCACGGCTACGGAACGTCAAGGCGCACGCAGGAAGCCCCGGGAAACGCGCCCAGGCCCGAGTCAACCAAGCGAAGACCTAAACAGAGGGCGCTCGCAGAACACCCTCTGATGGGGGGCAATTGTTGGGCATGTGACTCGGACCTAACCACGCAAAGTAAGGCGCGCCGACCTAAGGCGCGCACGAAGGAACGAGGCGCGGCACAACGTGGTAGATACTAGAGGATGTGCGCGGATGGAAAGAACCAACGCGCGAAGACCCTGAACCCCTCACAAAGATGCGCGCGAGCGGGAAACGCCAAGGCGCGGAGAGCCGGGCGCGTCACAGGCCACGCGCATACTGAGAGTGCCCAGCGAGTACTAAACCACAGGGCTAAGAGGAGTCTCGCCCACAATCCCCGAGGGGCGGCCACGTTGGGATCTGGGAGATGGTCGTAGGTACACCTCTGACACGTCCTAGGTAGAGGCATGGCCTAAATCCCCGACGTGTCAGTGGTCATGTCAAGGTCATGTCAAGGTCAAAATGCCATCATGTAATCCACCCACTCACCTACCACCGTGTAGCCTATAAATATGGCATTTACTCCGGTGGGTGAGGGGGATCGCATTTTTCACCACTCTCTCTCTACAATAACAACTTATCTCCCTAAAATCCCTTCTCTGGTTCCCACTCAATTCTCTAGTTTCCGACCCTCGATTAAACCCATTGCTTGCGCTCCTTCTTGACCCTAACTCTCACTCGAACCTCACTCCTACACTCAGTTAGGTTCAAACAGTCTTCTTTCACCGGCCGGCAGCCGGCGGCTAGCCACCTGCTCTCATGGCTATGTGTAGTTCACAAATCACAATAGGTCAGCATAGCATAGAATATATAATCAGTACAGAATCAGAAGAAATCAATTCTTTTAAGATTTTTGTATGGTCAAAGACGTAGAAATATTAAGCTACAAATTACTTAATTAATTCATTGAGAGAGATGATGTTTCGGAGTTTCTCGTGGTGTACACACATTGGTCTACGAAATTTGGGCAGGAAATCAAATATAAACGATGATTAATTGATTGTGTCAACTTAATAATACATAATAATAATAATTGTTTATTAACGATGATCACGGTGTCTACGAGTGCGCCCACAACTCGTCCTCAACTTCTCTCTCCGATTGTCTTGTGTCACAACATATGTAATGATAACGCCGACTAAGCCCGTGATTAGTTGATTACCTTGTAAATTAATTAGTTTATTCTAAGTACTAATTTTCGTATGAGTATACTGTATTTCACCATTTAGATTTACTACAAACATACATTTCGGGGTTAGTCGACACACTTCATGCTGTTTGGAGTGCCCCCTCGAAGACTTCATGAAGATTAACTTTGATATCAATGTTCGTGATTACAGTTGCTCGTCTGGCCATGTCGTTCATGGGATAGATGGACAAGTTCTTCTGGCCTTGGGGTCTCATCATCAAAGAGTTTCGGACCACTTAATCTCGCAGAGTTGCTAGCTGTTAGGGGAACCATCTTACTAGCGGTTTCAAGGAGTCTTCCTCGTGTCATTTTTGAAGGAGAGTCTGAAGTGGTCATCCGTCAGCCGGATAGAGATAGTAGTCGTGTTGAATATTCGGCGAGCTGTCCCTTTCGAGATTGTCTTCAATTGTTGATTTCGTGTTCTCTTTGTATAGATTTTAGGCCGGTTCTGCTGATTGTCAATTGGGCTGCCCATAGAGTAGTGGCACAGAAAGCCATGCTGCTTGCCCTCTTTAGACTTTGTAGGGTGGCTTCACTTAAGTGTTGCCTTGAGAGGATTTTGGGTAGAGATTTCTAGCTTTTAGTGAATTTTTATAGATTACCCTATACCACTCCATTGTATTGATTGAGTTGTTAGTGGTTTGCGGATTTAGTAAGTTTGCTACCCACAGAAGCAATGAAATTATATCGACTTCTTTCGATTTATTGAAACAAACTCCGTGGAGTGATTTGCCTAATCCAACCTGATTTGCGTTTACACCGATTCCATCCACCAAAGTTTGCCTAATCTTTCAAAGTGAGATTTGCGTCCTACCCAAGGGCGACAGTGCCCTACATTTTAATGCCCAAACTTGCTCCCACAATCCTCCCATCACTCTCTCTGATTAGCTTTTATATTAAAATCCCTTCACGTCCCAAACCATTAACTTGGTCATAACTAGGGCTGGCTATTTGGTCCGGGACTGTTTGGTTTTACCCGAAATCGGACCGTATAACTCGGACCGGGACCAGATAACAAACAATCCAATCTCATATTCGGGCTTAGATTTGAGGTAAAAAAACCGGATAAAGACCGAATAAGAGACCCCCAACAACTAAAATCAAGATCAAATCAAGACCGGACCGGGTCAAGACCGGATTGTATCCAATCCAATCTTTGGTCCTTATATTCCCGAAAAGACCGGACTGAAACCGAATCAATTTGGTCCAATTTAACCGGACCGGACCGTATAGCCACCCCTAATCATAACTCATAACCGACGTATCAGAAATTACCAATCAAATCCTCCCCCTCCTTCAAAATAAAACCCCCTCCCCCTCTCTCTCTCTCCACACTAATCAATATTTTCCTCCCACATTTTCTCTTCATTTCTCTCCGACCCGACCCGATGGAGAAGCATCCGCCGCATCGACACAGCGTCAGCAATTCCGTCACCGTGTGGGACTGCGGCAGCGCCCTCTACGACTCCTTCGAGCTCCGGTCCTTCGAGAAGCAGCTCGATTCGGCCATCAACTCGGGCCGGACCCTCTCCATGCCCCACTTGCCCGACCGCCGGGTCGCGCCCGACCCGGCCCCTTCCAATACGGCGCCGTTGCAGCATCCCCCGAAAAATAATAAGAGTCTTAATAAAAAAAATATCACCGACGGCGGCAGCTGCGATCCGGCCCCGGGGGCCAAAAAGCGCGCGACGTCGTCGAGGATATCGAAGTCCGTGCAGCGGTTTTTCAAGTCGGTGTTCGTTAAAGCGACGTCGTCTGGCGGCGGCAACAAGCAGCAGAAGGAGGAGGACAAGAAGCAGAGGGTCTACTTCGTGTACGAAAAGACCGGGGGGCTTTGCACGATTCCCGAGGGACCGGAGAGCGACGGGTTCGGGTTGTCGTCGAATATTAAGTCGCTGGCGAAGAGGAGCGCGTCGGAGAGGTTCACGGCGGCGACGGCGGTTGGTGTTTCATCATGTGCATGAATTAGTGGGGTTTTTTCTTTCTTTCTTTCTTCTTTTTATGTTTTTTTTTTGTGGTGATTAAAAGGGAAAGTTGTTAATTGTTACACGTATATGGTAGTTAAGACTTAAACGAGTAAATGATAAATAAATGAATAAGAAACGTAGTTTTTGTGTGTGTGTGTAATTTGGAGATGTTATTCTATGCTTGTCACTAGTTTTTTTATATGTTTGTAATTCATTTGGAGATACAATCGTTTCTAATGAATGTTAGATACAAATTAATATATTTAGATTTAACAAATTATCATTCATAATCATGGCTCAAGCCTTTCTCCAATAGGTCATAACAAGGCGGTGGGCTAATTAATAATTATGTCTAATTTCCCTGATCTTAATATTTTACTCAATTAAGCAAAACGATATAATCACTAGACTAAAAAGGAATTTTACAATGCTATATAGTATTGGTGTTATAGGTTTTTGCCTTTATGGTACAACTTGAAATTATACCTTTAACGTTATGGTACAACTTTACGTTGTACATTAAAGCACCACAACTTGAAATTATACCTTTAACGTTATGGTACAACTTTACGTTGTACATTAAAGCACCAATGTTATATAGCATAGTAGAAGTGCTACTAGACTAAGTTCTTATTTGCTTACTCTTTGAACTTAATTTGAGTGATATTTTTTCCCCATTCTTTTGGTTGATCTTGAGTTTCCGTTTTCCTTGTGGTAGTATTTATCCTCAATTCGTAGGAATTTTCAGTTAATGCAATTTGCAAGCGTTGATGATTTCATTTTGGATGGTAGCTCAAGTGCGGGAGCAGGAATCGCCAAAGTGGAATCCATCAAATTAACTAAAATTAATTCAACATTTAGTCTTTGCTCTAATCTAATCAAGCGCTATAATAAATAAATATATATATATATTTAAAGAAAATTCGGGCAGCTAGCATTAGCAAGCGCTAATTAATCATTTAGCGGACGTCAAATTGATCAATGAATGAATGAACTCCTTGATTAATTTACAATATCCTCCTCCTGCCTTTTTGTTTTGTTTTTTTCCAGATTTTTTATTCATATATATTAGACTATTAGTTCCCTTGTGAATACATCGTAAAAGCTTATAGGAACTTCTATTGAAAATATCTATGATAAAACATTTTACACTAAATCCTCGTTCAATTGTTTTGTACCATTAAAAAGTGTCTATTGATTTATTAGGATGTTTTTCAGGTCGGACCGTTGGTAACGAATATTGATTGGAAGTTGGAACACATTAACTAATTAATAACCAATTATGTATATGTTGGTCCCTGCATGCAGTAACAGTGCTGCACATATGACGTATCTATGCCATTTCTATGAATTCATTTCAAATTCAAACCAACTCCATCTTTCCTAGCACCCAAAACATCAAAATTTATTCCTGTTTGTTGGTGAGAGTTGAATGTAACTTCCTACACACGCTATGGGTGAGTGTTCATAAAATCATAACCTTCGAAGAGAGAGAATCCGTATTGGTGGAATCAGCCCATAAAACAAAGAAATGGGCTCATGGCCCATAAGGTAACCTTGTGAGGTCCAATATTCCTGCCAGGCCGATCCAGGCGAGAAACGGCTTGTTGTGGGGGCTAGCACACGTATTAATAAGGGGTGAATTGGTCATTATTCCATCAAAATCCCAAGCAGATAGATTCGAATGCAATTAGGGATGACAATGGATCGGGTTGGGTCGAGTTTTGCCAAACCCAAACCCATAAGTTTATCTGTGAAAGAAATTCGGGGTAAAACTCGTTGGGTATCTGCGGGTTTATGGGTACCCACGAGTTTTTGTCGTAAGAAATTTACAATAACAAGTTTCTATCAAAACTAAAGTCAAATATCAATCTCTCAATACAAATTATCGATATATAAAACATCATTCTAGAAAATTCAAGCAAATTACAAATTAAATATACAAATTGTTCAACACCAATCTAGAAAACTCAAGAAAATTGAAGCAAATCACAAATTATCCATAAATAACATGGTTAATTGAAAGCTTCTTCCTTTCAATTAAGTTTGTTCACTTTCCACTCGATAATATCAACTTCATTCTACACAATTAGAAAGAAAAAAATCAGACATGTCTCCACAAACATAAATAAGATTAGTTGTTTAGAATATTAAATATACCGAGAAAATTAATTATATGGGTGTGGGCGGTTACCCATGGAGCGAGTTTACCTAAACCCAAACCCAACCCAACCCGGTGAATAGTGAACGGGTTTAAACCCAAACCCCTTCAACACGAATTTTACTCGCGTTAACCGGGTTGGGTCGGGTGGGTACCCGTGGATTCGGGTTTTGTTGCCATCCCTAACGGCAATACTATCTAGTTTTGCAACCTCCTCTCAAAGAAGAAGCGAGAGGTTAGACTATCTCGTGTTTTTATACAGGGGAATTTTTTACTCCATTGTTTAGCTCATATGAGTTTCTCTGTTCCATGAGGTTCGGAAATGAGTTTTGTATGACATTTTGGAGACCTCAATGTCCCAATACATTAATATTATGAAACAGTAGTGCAACAATCATTAAATACACCAATTAGATACACCTATCTATCTACGCGAAAAATAACTCGTTCACACTTACAATAGTAGCATTCATACAAGAAAAACAACAATCATGGTTAATTGATTTCCGTGGGCAGGAACCAGGGATGGTGTTGTTCAAGTCCTAATGATGGCATCATTTATGTGTCAGCTATTCCTATTAGCTCCATTTCTTAGCTCGACAATCTTTAATCATGATTTGCTGGGACCTCTCCATAACAGACCCTCAAGAGTCAAGACTTCTAAAAGCTGCTGTAATTTTCACAAACAACTTCTTCCTCGGTTATAAATAACATTTTATCCGGTACGCTTTCTGAACCATAGGGGGTAAAGTTCGTTAAATGTCAACACACTACACGTCCCAAGTCACAACAACACCAACCTTAAAGCAGCAACAAGGCAGAAAAAAGGAGAATTCGAGTTTGTTGGTATGTGTCAATCTCAATCATGCTGGACAGTAAGCAAGAAAACAACTAAAGCTGGATCATCATCATGGTAAAATGACCCTACAGAAAAATTGAACAAAATTCTATCTCTTAACCACGTAAAAAGAAACTTTGAACATAATGATGACCATTAGAAGGGTGTCCCTAGTGGGCACATACACATAAATAATGCAAGAAGAAACTGAAATTGGTAAAGGACACTTATATTACCTCTGAATCTTCTTTCCTCTTGCCTCTCCCCTGCAAATCCCCTTCAAAATTGGTCCTGCTTCCTCTCTACTAGGGTTCTTTTTTTTCTGCAGTAAAAGAAAGGAAGGAGGAAATGGGTCTGAAGAGAGATGACAAGGTTTGTTTAATGGTGTTGGTGTTGTTGTTGATGATGTTGCTTCCTGATTGCAAGATGGCTGCGAGGGTTGGCAGAGGTTCCAGAGTAGGTGGATGTTCTCATGTTTCCTTCTGTAGCTATGGTCGTGTGAACAAGGAGGTGGAGGAGAAGAAGATGAAGGAGGAAGATGGGAAAGTTGACATCAATGGAGGGAGAGCAAGAAGTACTGATGAAGGTGACAGCAGTAGTGATAAGATGCTTCATGATGTTGATGGTGATGGTGATCAGTATCGTCCAGATGTGGATGGTGATGGTTCGGATTCATCGGGGTATGATGATTACGAAGACTATTACTACAGAAGGTATGGAGATGTTCCAAGTCCGGGTATTGGTCATTGATAGCGCGATTATGGTGCTCGCAGCTTTCATACGCGTCGACACATGTGTTATAGGGCTGGATGTCGTCTGATAATATGACGATGTTCGAGCTCTTTCTTACATGTAATAAGGATTATAGAAGAATTCCCTCCTGCAATATCTCTATAGTAGTGCAGCATCCCCTTGATAAATAAGTAGAAGTAGCTATAGATTTCCTATACATGAACATTATGATTAAGATAGCAATGTTTAGTTTTCTTTGTCTCCCACGCCCTCTCTCTCCTTTTTCTCTTCTATGTTTTATTTCTTTTTGTGGCTATTTGTACAAATATAATTTGGTATGTGGTTGGGATGGGAATTTTGTATTCATTTGGCATAAATTTGGGATGCATGTTTTTCTTTTTGTCCATGGTCAAATGGTGTTCATGTTACTACAATACTACTTACTAGTATTGAGCTTGATGACATTTACTTGTGTTAGTTTTAATTTATTTATGCATGAGTAGATAATATTATATCGAATTTTATCTACACATCTCTTCGGTGCTCATTATTTTTTAGAATTTATCGAGTTGTTGATATTTTTTTTATCTAATATGTTATGTCTATCGTGTTTTTTAGCTTAACTTACCATCTTATAGCTTAAGAATGAGAGTTAAGTCACAATTACGAGAACTCTTATTTTCCAAGACTTTTAATTCTGGAGTGTATTAATATCCGATCCAGGCAATTAGGGACTACAATTGTAGAGATCCATAATATACTTCTTTGTTCGCACCATCAATTCTCATGTATACTGGCTCGCTAGCTAGCCACTCTGTTGAGGCAACTCATAAGTTCATAAGGAGCTCAACAAACCATCCAGACGAACGAAACTCACGACAGAAGCCTAACAAACTGAACGATATTGAGTTCAAACTCGTCGACTCGTTAATAAACAAACCGAATATCAAAATTCAAAAAGACACGTTCCCCCAAACCGAACATCGGACCACTAGTGAGAAGCCTAAGAAAAAGATCGGCCAAAATGAAAATACCTGCGACCTTTTATACTTTGCAGAGCCTTTCTTGTAGGCTCAATCGAAGGTTCAGAGCGACGAACAAAAGGTTACACAGACGGACAAGTGGAACTTTTGCAGTCATCAACCAGATCCTATTTCCTCTCCATCGCCCCGCAACCTTGGGATCAAATCCAGAAATGAACATCCCAAATGCAAAACAGTGTAGTAACCCTTTCAATCCCATCAGGAAAAAGAAGCAACCCGTTCATCAAATCAATTCCGCTTCGACTAACAGTTTTAATCGCCGCCGCAGCATTCGCGATTTCCGATGGCGGAGCACGCCGACGAGCTCACCATCCCGATTCACTCCTCCCTCGATCCCGTCTACGGCGGCGGCCCCGAAGAGATCAAACAAGCTCGCGTCCGATTCGACAATCTGAAGGCGGAGTTCGATCGAGTTTTCGGCCATCCGCCGGACATCTATTCCCGCTGTCCAGGTCTGAATTCCCCCTCTTTCTTCTCCCCGTCTTCGCGTCAAATGGTACAACCTAGAACAATTCACGTTTTGAACTTTGATACGTCGTCGTTTTTGGCGAAGGACGAGTGAATTTGTTGGGAGCGCATACTGCTAGAGAAGGCTGCTCGGTGTTGTCGACGGCGATTCAACGAGACACCATTGTCGCAATCTCCAAGCATTCTCCAAAAGAAGGGGAAAAGCTGCTGCGGATCGCGAATGTCGACGAGAAGAAGTACGCGATGTGCAGTTACCCTGCCGATCCTAATCAGGTTTCCTCCTTTTTCTTCCATTTCGAACAATAACAATCTCGCTGATGAAACGTATAGAAAACGATGAAGAATGTCGCGCAATGATCGTTTTAAAATTTTTCGCGAATTATCGTCGGGGGAATTCGTGATTGGTGCAGGCAGTGGACTTGAAGAATCGTAGTTGGGGTGATTACTTCATCTGCGGGTGAGATTGAAATGATTCTCTCATATTTTCCATAACCTAGTTTTGGAATGTGAATCTGTATACAGGACACTGCTAAACTCTGCTGTATAGGTACAAAGGTTACTATGAATATGCGAAAGCCAAAGGGAGAGACGTTGGAGACTCGGTTAGGTTCTTCGACGAATCGGTTGGGCTTGAGGTTATGGTTGATGGAGCTGTTCCAATTGGTATGTATATATGCAACGTTGCTAATGAACCAACTGGGTCTGCAACCCTAGAACACTTTCATAATCTAATGAATTGCTGTTTTTGTTTCGTTGTCTTGTTCGATTCATCAGGTTGGGGGCTGTCGAGCTCTGCAGCATTCGTTTGTTCAGCTACGGTCGCGATCATGGCTGCTTTCGGTGTCAGCTTCCCAAAGGTAAAAAACAAAACCCAACCAAGCGTTAGAAGTTTGTTGTACAATGAAGGTCGATCACCATGGAATCAATTGCTTCAAAAAATTGTACGCAGAAAGAAGTTGCTGAGGTGACTCGTGAATGTGAAAGCCACATAGGGAAAGGTCAATCTGCAGGAATGGACCAGGTTTGTAACCAGAGAGAAAATCACGTTCTTCATTGTTATATATGGAAACTACTAGCTAAGCTAGATGCTAATGAATTGGCCTGGCCTGTTCTGATTTAGCATGCAGCCTCTATGGTGGCTAAAGCAGGATTTGCTGAGCTGATAGAATTCAATCCGGTTCGAGCAACTGATCATGTGCAGCTGCCGAAGGGTGCCACTTTCGTGATTGCACATTCTCTGGCCGACCAATCTCAGATGGCTGCAACTGGATACAATACCAGAGTTGTCGAATGTCGTTTAGCTGCTGTATGTGTGCAAAACTTCTGCGTTATTGGGATCAACTAGTTCTCGAAGCATAGAAATCACTTCCAGCAGTCTATCTCTTTACTGTGTACACTTCATTCTGTAATCTACATTTGTTTCTGCAGATCTTACTTGGAATAAACCTGGGAATGAAGCCAGAGGAGGCAAGATCAAGAATGCAAACTCTGTCTGATGTAGAGGGATTGGGTAAATCTGACCCACTTGCCTCTGTTAAGGTATGTATTACGCCATGATCACTCACCTTTGCTAATGTTCAACAATGGCATTTTGTGACCGCATACTGTAAAATCATTCATTACTGCACTTGTTAATTGTTCCTTCAGGAATTTCTGAAAGAGGTACCCTACACAGCCGAACAAATCGAGAACATCGTTGGAGAAAAATTGACATCCTTGTTCAGTACTTCGCCGTCGTCGATATTGGATGTGCTCAACTCAACCACGCAGTACAAGTTACACCAGAGAGCTGCGCATGTCTACTCAGAAGCAAAGCGGGTGCATGCGTTTAGGGACATAGCGTCAGGAAAGCTCAGGTGGACGTCGACATCCATCAAAGATCAAAACTTTACTTCTCTCTATACGAATCCAGGTGAGCTAATGAACTATTTTGCAGTGATGAGGACAAACTGAAGAAGCTAGGCGAGCTAATGAACGACAGCCATAAAAGCTGTACTTCTTTATACGAATCCAGGTGAGCTTGTTTAACCCTTTTCCAGAATTTCAGTACAATCGGGTAACAAACATGAAGCCATTTTAATTTTACGGGTACTTGGAACATTTTTTCACGGTGTATATATAGTTGCCCGGAGTTGGAAGAACTAGTGAAAGTCTGCCGGGACAATGGAGCCTTAGGGGCAAGGCTCACCGGCGGTGGATGGGGCGGTTGTGTGATTGCTCTGCTGAAGGAGGCCACCGTCCCACAATTCATTCAAACGTTGAAGGTAATTAATTAATTAATTATGTGCATATGTTACGTATTAATGTCGTGGCATACTCGTTTTATATTTTAACAATTAAGGTTTATTAATTGTTTGATTATTCAATTTTTATTGCAGGAAAAATTTTATCAGGCAAGAGTCGAAAAGGGTGTAATTGGCAAGAACGATCTTGACCTCCATGTCTTTGCTTCCAAGCCTTCCAGCGGTGCTGCCATTTTCAAGTTCTAGAACGAACATTGGAGTTCCTTCCATGAATTTTTGGAATCAATTCACGGGGTTTGAAGCTCGTCAGATGAGCTCTAGTACTTTTTTGCATCTAGCTAGCTAGCTCCAGCCTTGGAGGATTTGTGCTTTACTTACTACTTTCGATTTTGAATGATTCGTTATGAAAATTTATGATAAGATCTATGCAATTCGATCTGTCACGATTTGATTAGGCTGAGTTTTATCCGATTTCTAATAGTGTAGGGTGGAGTATGGGTACTAGTTTCGTCCAACCTTGTCCTTTCAATTACGTTAAGATAAACTTCTAGACAGCGGACAGTGGCGGATACATGCATGGTTAGGGTGTCCCGGGACACCCCTAAAATTTGGAAACACGATTATTCAACCTACGATAGTAATTTGCGTATAACAAAAAAAATGTTTAAGTGGTAGTGTGGGACACCTTTAAAATTTGGAAAAATGATTATCCAATCTCCCGTAGTAGTTTGCGTATTGGTATAAATAATATTTAAGTAGTAGTTTATGTGATTTAAATTTGGGACACTGCCACTATTAGTTAATATATTTTCAATTACGCTACAACTCATTTGTTATTGTGTTTTAGATCCAAATATAATAGTAAAATGTTATTCTTATTTCAAATTATTTTCAAAATCTAACGATTAAACTCAATTACGGGATATCCTTGTCTAGTAAGATATGTCGAGAGATATTTGTTGAGCAGTATAAACACCGAATGCATTTTATCATTTGATGAAACACGTCTGAACTTTTAATGAAACTTTATTAGTTAGATATTTTCATATTTAATAATTATTTAATTTAATTCTAATATTTAATTTAATTTTTTACAGAGGACACCCCTACATTGAATTGCTGGATCCGCCACTGACAGCGGAAAAGAAAAATTAACCAAAATCATTGGAGAGAGCCAGTTCAGTACAAAATGGTGCCCCATTAGAATCTTTGCCCTTCCTACCTAGTTTCTCTAGTTGTATACATGAGTCATTATAAAAAAGCATCGTTTTCCTGTATCTGTTTACCACTAAAAAAAACAACTTAATACCACATTGATTATTTTCAAGGAGTGGTAGTGATTTATAAGGCCAACTCAACATTAATGATTAAAAGAGATAGCTGGGCCTTGTTGGGTTGGGTTTTTGGGCCTAAGTGGCCAAACCCCTTCTCCTCTATACGATGGCCGACCCGTCTTCGTGACCCCATAGCCGGACGATGCCTCCACCCCTTGGTATGAAATTTGACTAAGTATTGAGACCCAACCACAAGGGGGTCATGCATGACCTCGTCCAAGAGGGTCTCGTCCAAGGGGGTTGTGCATGATATCGTCCAAGGGGGTCATCGCTAGTACCCCTAGCTGTGGTGGCAAAGAGAGCCAAAATTTGGCTAAGTGTTGAGATCCACAGCACAAGGAGGTCATCGCGAGTACCCTTTCGCCGTGTGGTGCAAGGAAGGCCAAAATTTGGCTAAGTGTTGAGACCCACAGCACAAGGGGGTCATGCATGACACCGTCCAAGGGGGTCAAGCACAAAGGGGGTCATGCATGATCTCGTCCAAGGGGGGTCTCGTCCAAGGGTGTCAAACATGATGCCGAGGTGAAAATTGGCTAAGTATGGAGATCCAACCACAAGGGTGTCAAGCATGACACCGTCCGAGGGGTGCCAAACAACCGGGTACCAAGTCGGGTACCAAATAGGAGGCCATCAGTGCTGAGAAAAAATCGGCTAAGTATGGGGCAAGAGGGTACCATGCCGGCAAGGAGGGCTTGGTACCAAAACATTGAATTTGGCTAAGTATAGAGCCAAAGGGGTATCAAGCCGAAAAGGCATGCTTGATACTAAAATACATGAAAATTGGTTAAGTATAGAATCACATGACCATAGCAAGAGGGTACCAAGCCGGCAAGGCATGGCTTGGTACCAAGACATGAAAAGCATGAATTTGGCTAAGACTGACTTGGTGGCCAGGCAACAGGGGGCCAATACGGAATTGATAGCCATACATCAGGGTATCAAGCCAACAAGACAAGAAATTCGACTAAGGCATGGTGGCTAGCTGAGGTGGCCACCCGACTAGGTACCAAACAACCATGTATGGCCCTTATGGGGCCATGTGGAGACAAAGTCCCAAGGCCGACTTGGTAGCACCCTAACGGGGTACCAAGCCGGCAGGGTGTAACTTATCAACTTGATGAGGCTACAAAGACTAAGTATGGAGACCAAGCCCCCAGGATTGGTGTCATGAGATGGTAGCGGTCTCAAGACGACAAGAGTGGGGAGTCATCAAGCAGCCGAGGGTGCGATCAAGACTTCATCATGGAGGCTAAGCAAAGAACCTCAACCCCATCCAGTCATGATAGGGCGATGAGACGAGACCCCCAAGGCGACGGTTACCAACTAGTCACCAAGGCAGCGACAAGCGGCCCCTAAGGCGGTTGGAGCAAAAGGCCAGCTAGCAGTTACTACGACGGTTACCAAGGCAGTTACACCCAGTGGCTATAAATAGGAGAAACAAAGACGGGAAAAGGGTTCCACAACCAAACATTTGACAACACATGTCAAAATTTATCTTTTCTCTGCAACTTGCCTTTTAGTTTTTCGGAGCTCTCACTGAACCTCCATAGGAGTAGAGTAACGTAGCTTGTTTCCAAAAAACCATCAAAAACATCAAACACCCTCGTTCGAACATTGTTCGGAGAGGTGTGAACCGTGTTATTAATCGTTGTTCAAGAAGTCAAGGTGCATTCATTGTGTTCAAACACCAGATTTTCCTCGCCGGAAAACAGTATCTAAAACACCACAAACAATAGTATTGTTGTCTACTCAAACCAAGCGAACCTCCTAAACAAAACACTTACACAGAATGGTCCGCATTGCCACCATCGGGCCGGAGCTCTGAGTCGTCATGGTGCCTTCAAGGATGGAGTCAGGATTCTGGGCTGAGGAGGTCAGATTTTTTAGTATATTATCATAAAATACAAAAAATTATATAACAATTATATAACAATATATTAATTATGTTAATTATCAAACCGTACAAGATGTTGTTTCAAATAATCATATTGGCTCTAGATATAATCTATTATGAATCAATATAAATGAGCAAAATACCAAAACAATCACTGATTTTCAGTTTGTATAATGTTATTCAATATTAGTATTTGAACAAGAAAATGATCATTTATGTATAATAAAATTATTGTTAAAGATATAATTTATAAGTTAAAAAACTTATATGTTCAAGTGGAAAGTTAATCAAAATATAAATTTCAAATAAAAAATTGATTTTCTAGCAAAATTAAAATTGGTTTTAAACTTATTGGAGAAAAGTTTATCTGACTATAACGAAAATAAAAGTATGTTAAAAATATGGTAAATCGGTAGAGAAAAATGGAAAATGTAAAAAACGGACAATATAGCAAAAAATGTTAATAGGGTAGGCTACGCCCCACTAGGCCAAATAATTACTTTTGTTACACTTTCCACGGATACATATATTAGAAGCACTTAAGTTACTAGATAATTTTCAGAATACCTAAGCATTCATACATAAATTTTGTAATTCCCGGGGATTGGGGGTCCCTTAGGCCCATGGTGCCTTCCCCAAGTCGAGATAACCTGATTTCTGTTCGTGGAGCTAGCCAAATGCCTCCTCCATCGCCACAATTTCTTCGTCACCATCATGGTCCATGTCAATAGCTTCGACATGAAACCCTAGCACGAGCTCCTTCGGCCACCATCTTCCCTCTCTTCCTCTCACTGGTCAGCGTGCTTGACGTCATCACTCTCGTCACCCTCACCATGATTCGCTCCCTCCCTTACATCGACGACTCCTTAAAGAGCCTACTCAATACTCCGATTGTGGTGGCCATTATAGTCGATTTCCTCGGTGCCCACACCCTCTAGGTGGCGGCGGAGCTCTACATCCCTCCTTATGTTTTCTACACGTGTGGTAAGTTCCACCTCACTCTAGGGCTGAAAAGCCCCAAATCTCGAGGTGACCCACCGGGTCAAACTCAGAGACCTGCCCGAGCCTCTGGAGCTGTCGGGTTGCGTCCCGCTTATGATTCAGGATCTTCTCGACAAGAAGGACGATGCTTACAAGTGGATGGTCGAGGTCCACCAGGAGATCTCGACCAACGCCCTCGAAATCACGGTCAACTACTTTATGGACTTGGAGAGTGAATTTTCAAAGCTCTAGCTGAGAAATGAGGTCAAACCGGTTCTGGGCCCTTATCGAGCCAATACCATTGCTCGAGTCAGACGACCCAGCCGAGATGAGTACCGACTTGGTGGAGACGGGGAGTGCTTGAAATTAGATTGGCTCTATTTTCTGGGCCCATATTGAGAGCCCACAAACCTTGTGGATCTTTTAAAACCCCGGCCCTTTTAGGTGTTGACGTTTAGTCTAGTACCGAGCTCTGTAACTGAGGAAAAAAAACCTTGGCGGGAGAAGCCAGCAGGCACAGCAGCCTTCACACAGCGAGACGAGCTTAGATCGCTGCAATCAGAGCTTTACTAATGGAGAAATCACTGGCAACGCTTGACAACGGCACGACGTGCTCCTCGTGGAACTACTCCGGCCAGAGGTTGGCCACCGGCTCCGTAGACGGGACGCTTTCAATCTTCGATTCCGGCGACCCTGCTTCTACGTCTTTCAAATGTACCTCCAAAGCTAGGGTTAGTAAATTTCCGCCGAAAATTTGAGTCTTTTCCAGCGAGCTCTTAGCTGTCTCCATGTGATTTCCGATTGGTTTTCTTCGTGTTAATTGAAATTTGGTTTAGGTGGGTGAGAGTGGTGTTGTGAAGGTAGTATGGATTCCGCCGCTATTTGGCGATGCAGTGGCTTGCATTGACGGGAATGGAAGCTTGTCTCTATGGGAAGAGTTGGCTGAAGGTTTTTCTCCGTTTGGACTGCTTTTTTGCTGTTATATAATACCTTATGGAGAGTTTCAGATTAGGTTGTTGATGGTGTTATTTTGGGCCTTTGTTTGTGTAGATGCGCAAGCTGTTGAATGGAAGCACAGCAAAAGCTTTCAGAGCAACTCTGCTAAAGTGTTGGATGTTCAATTCGGAGTTTTCCGGACCATTTTGAAGATGGTGAATTCTCGTGATTCATTCGTTTTTTCGCTGTTGTATTAATGGTTGGAAAGTATGTTCAATTGGTGATTGTCTTTGTTTGTAGCTCGCAGGTTGTTGCATATTCAGATGGTCAAGTGAAAGTGTACGAGCTCTCTAATCCATTAGAGTTGAAGAACTGGCAGCTTCAGGTTTAGATGTTCGATTGTGTCAATTGTAGCATTATAGTAGAGCAGGGATGATAGGCTTTGCTCATTTCTCCTGCTAATGTGCTTTTATTTCCCATTGGATCAGGCTGAGTTTCAAAATTTGACTGATTCGGTAGCTAAATTAGCCAAGGCTTCATGCTTCTCTGCTTCCATCTGTTGGAATCCACAAAGGGGTGATGGCCAGGAGTTGAGCTTTGTCTTGGGCTTCAATTCAGATACACCACAACTCAACTCTTCCAAGGTTATAGGAAACTCAACCCAAGTTCTTGTCTTTTTTTGTTGCAATTGGCAAAGCAAATGTGAACATAAACTTGACTTAGATCCTTCAGTAAGATACTGTAATCATATATGAAGAAAAGAAGAGGAAATGAGATGATTTTGGACAGAATTCATATGAAATGATAGAAAGGCAAAATAAAGTGGCATAATTAAGTTTGACCTCATTGTTTGAGATCCTTAGTAGTGAAACGAATTGAAGTTGCAGGTTATTTGGTTGAGAGTATTTGGGAGAGTGATATTTTCAATAACATGTATTAGACATATATATTATTTTCCTTGACAATTTTGATGTATTTGAGTGCGCTTGAAATTACCCATGCAATCTCAAATATTTAAGAAGTAGGAAGTATTTGAAAATGCAATCTAGAAAGTAGGTTGGTTATTGTCTTTTAACCTTTCTGACACATTTTCATGCACAATTGCACTGAATCAAATAATGTCTCTGAAAATATACCTCATATAATACAATGCAAAATGGATGGCATGCCATCGGGAATAATAACATCAATTTGCAATACTAAACGCACCCGAAAGACCTGATGATATGCCTGATAACTCCCTTGGCATGATGAGTCACAAGGTCTCTTGACAGGCATCCTGTCTTCTTTGGATAAAGAATTTAGCTTCTAGGAAAAAATGATTTTGTTTACGTGGGCTGGTTCATTTCCACAGTAATTCATCATTGTCAAGTTTCATTTAGCTGATCAGGTTCAGGATTTGACAGGTGTGGGAGTTTGATCTAGACCACCAACGATGGGTCCCAGTGGCCGAGCTTGCTTTACCTGAAGACAGAAAAGATCAGGTGTTCTCTGTTGCATGGGCACCAAACATCGGCAGGTGATTACTTAAACATCTGAAAATGCCAGAACATTTAAATCTGTAAAAGGTCGTATATATTAAACCAAGTCTTCCTATTTTTGTAAGGCCATATGAGGTCATTGCTGTTGCTACTCACAAGGGAATTGCCATATGGCATCTCGGATCTAACCCCGACACCGATGGCAGACTTTCAGTGGAGAGGGTTGCTTTACTCTCCGGCTATGAAGCAGAGGTACCATGACCACAGTGGTTTCAAAATTAGCAATGCAAATACCTCTCGGTCTCATTTGTCTTCCTGAAACCATGTGAACGTTTTACCCATGTAGGTTTGGCAAATGGAATGGGATATGAGCGGGATGACTCTAGCGACCACAGGGACTGATGGAATGGTGAGACTCTGGCAGTCCAACTTGAACGGTATCTGGCACGAACAAGCCGCATTTGAGCCCACTACCTAGTTCCTGCCTTCTTATCATCATGTGCTCTATATAGATTCCTTTGTGGAGTCCTAGCTTCCTTGCTTTTTAAGCGGTCATTGCTCTGTAACACCACCATAGAACCAGCTCACAGCTGCTTTTCTCCCTTACCTGCGCCGTGAGTTGTCGTCCATGTTTAAACCTAGCATTCCTTTTATATCTTGGTGCTTACCATTGGAAAGGAAAGAAGTGGGCTTAGCTGGTTTCTCCAGTAGAAGTGTCCCCTTTTTGATTGGTTGACCTTTTCAATCGATGATTCCGTGGGACAAAGGTTCATCTTGTCCATTACATTGTTTATTACCAGGTAAAACTAGCTGAACCGTGGCTTCTGCTAGGAGAATGTTTTGAAGGACAAAGTGTTGAAGCATATACTTGGCTGTCTAGTTTTTGTGTCTTACCTGTTTGGAGTCTTGGCTGACCATCCGGTCCGGCAATCCATGTATGGTAATGTTAGTGTGTGTGGTGTGTCGAGTTTATCGAATAACAAACTTCTCAATAAATACGATCGAGTATTTCGGCTGTCTGATTTTTGTCTCAGGAGTCTGATAATTGGAGAATAATATGAATCTCACTGTGCATCAGCTACTGCAGAAGTCCCATAAAAAAAAACTACTGCAGAAGTCAGTGAGGTCATTCTGATCAATTTGTGCCATCAGCTTGTTTTGGTAAATCTTGTTTACCTTGTAAAAGATCAACAAATTGTGTGGCATATAATTTGCTTATTTAAATAATTTCCACTACGTTTTTTTTCTTCCTTTTACCTGTTGTCAATTTTTGAAAATTTCCTCTTCTTTGTTGGTTTTTTGTTTCAATAGATAGCTCCATTCCATTACGAAGAAGACAGAAAGCATTTGTATCATTCGTAGGTTGTTCGTGGGATGTTTTTGAGGCTTTTCCAAAAAAATTCCGCAGCTAATCCTATTCCAATACGGCTGAGATGCTGAAATGCTGATGGTAAAAGCACATTCTTTCACTCCATTTATTTATTTAATAAATATTTGGGTTTTTCAAAACATTTACGGAACCTCAATTTTTTGTTAACTGGAAATTACAAGACCGGCCGGTTCGGCCACGATGCTGATGGGGCATAGCAATCAAGAACCGGCCATAATTAGTGCAAGCTATATACCCCATCAGCATCGTGACCGGACCGGCCGAATCGACGATTAGAAACACAGATCCATCGAAAAGTTTCCAGTGAAACTTGTTTGCTGCAAAGGGGAGAGAAGCAACGGTGCTGATGGCGGAACCAAGTGTGAATCGATCAAGCATCGCAATTGAAGTCATCTTTCGAGGGCGTAATTACGAGGAATCTGCCACACGAATTGCTCCTACGACGAGATTTTGGATCGTAGGCAGATAGAATTGTCGCGGAGATAAATTCACGGGCGAAGAGATCAACGAAGGCGCTCTTAAAACCTATTAATCGCACCTCACAACATTTGACAAAACAACTGATTCATAATCTTGGTGAACACAACATCTTCTTCAACATCAATCAAACGACTTCAGTCTTCGCTCCTTCTCGAGGCCACAACCGAGCAATTGACACAGTTGTTGTACGAGATGAACCGACTGAATGATTATTCGATCTCTTAAGTTTCTCCGGGATGGTTGAATTAGATAACGTTTATTAAAGAAAGAGTTCTCCAATACGGGAAAAAGGTCGTTAAATCGAAACAAAATAATAAGAAATTGTAAGAGAAGTTGGCAAAACAATAAACCAAGACACTTGGTATTGGCGGGAACCGCCATGGGAGAGGATATCCATTATATTAAATGTTTTGTCGCCATGTAACAAAACAGAATTTGTAAGCTAACCAAAACCTCCTCCTCCTCCTCTTCTTCTCCCCTATAAAATCAGCTTTCCTCTCCACACTCCAATGCACCACTTCTCCACAATTACAGTAATGGAGAAATCCCAAATCAAAGTTTGCGTCACGGGAGGCTCTGGCTTCATCGGCTCCTCCCTCGTCAAGAAACTGCTGGAAAAGGGCTACACCGTCCACGCCACCCTCCGCAATCTCGGTCGGTTAAAATCCCCATTACCCACTTCCCACGAGATTACTTCAATTCGATTCAATCAATTTCCTGAAGGAAATCGTGGCTCCAATTTAATTTAATTATATCTCTGATCATTCTGCAAATGGCAGAGGACAAGGCGAAAGTGGGTCTCCTGACTTCCCTCCACAACGCCGAGACCAATTTGGTCCTGTTCGAAGCCGATATCTACAACCCAGATCAGTTCCAGGCCGCCATCAATGGCTGCGAATTCGTTTTCCACGTCGCTTACCCTCTCCAACACAACCAGAACAGCTCCACGGTCTGTCTGTAAAACTATTTCATCTGGGTACTCTGTTTTTACATCTGGGTACTCTGTTTTTTTGACAAAGAAACAAAAAAACCCTGCAGTACAAGGACAGGATGGAAGCCATGGCTGCCGGGTCGAAGAGCATAGCGGAAAGCTGCATCAAATCGGGAACCGTGAAGCGGCTGATATACACCGCCTCCGTCATGGCGGCGTCGCCCCTGTTTCAGGACGGAGTCGGTTACGGTGACGCCATTGATGAGTCATGTTGGACACCTCTCAACGTCTCTTTCAAATGCAGCGATACTTTCACCTTGGTACAGCTCATCCCCTTTCCTTTTCCGGTCTTTGCCCTTGTTTCTCTACAAACTGGTTAATATATGCAATCGATGAGAAGGTTTTAGGGTAACAGAGTGTGCTTCTGGAAATTGAAAACAGAGTACTCTGTTGCTAGAAATTGTAAACAGAGTACCACCCGCCCCAGTAAAAATTTGGGTAATTATCTGGAAACAAACCTTTTCACTTTATACAAAATGGTAACAATCCTTCAATTATACATGTTTTGGTAAAATAAATTTGAGTGAATAACGAATTGGTCAATTCATCCCCGTCCAATACTCCATTATCTTTTGCCCAGTCAGCATGACAGGTCATCAAAATATTAATAAAAAATCAGTTAATCATTCTAATTAACCCTTACCGCTTCTTCCGCCGCTGTCGTCCCGAACGCTGACAAGGATTCTCAGCCCTCCTTTAGTTGCCGAACTGATGCAGCCGGTCAGCAAATTGGCAAACAGATTAGTGGTGGAATTGAACAGGAACCTGTGTTAGTGTTGTGGTATATGATCCACGATTGAATCTCTCCCAACAACTCGAATTATTGGGATCAACTGGTTCTTGACATGATATCAGAGCCTTTTGTGACTGAGAGGTCTTGTGTTCGATTCCTGGTAACCCCTATTTGTTAAGCACATGGTATTCTTGTCTTCAGATCTATGCAAATTTCAAACCCTTGTGAGTGACTTTCGTTTGAGGAATCATGTTAGTCATTTTCTAACTCCTTCCACACTCTTTGCATTCTCATCTAATTCCTTCCCCTGTCTCGACGTTCGACCTTCTTGTTAACGTTGACTTCTTAGGAGGAATTTTGAATTTCGTGCTATCGTTGTGTACAAGGTTTAATAGTCAACCTCCCCAAGAAATTTGGCATGTTGATATCAACGAACGTTGACATGTTATTGGAATTCTTAATCGAACAGTTTTTTTTTTGTGTTTTTGTTGCCAACTTTCAATCTCTTCTATATCTTTCAATATTCAAGCTTATTTACGTAAAAATATATATATATATATATATCGAGATTAATAATTTTTTTGTTTGACATATACATTCTGTTTTCAACTAATCCAAACACCATAATCAATTAAGTCTTGACGTGACAACATTATAAGACAATCATGGTTGTCCAAGCTTTAGAATAGTATGAGCTGATTATAACATGTTTGTTTTTCTCACACTATTGTTTTTGTTCGGTTGGGGCGGAAAACAAAGGAATACACGAGGGGAAAGACAGTGGCGGAGAAAGAAGTGCTGAAGTACAACTACGACGCCGCCGCCGGCAAGCTGGAAGTGGTGAGCCTGGTCACGGGGCTGGTCGGCGGGGACACGATTCTCTCGCACGTGCCGACGAGCGTGGAGGTGATCGTCTCTCCGGCCACCGGAAACTTGTTCGGCTACAACCACGGGCTGATGCTGATACAGGAGTTGTTGGGATCGGTGCCGCTCGTCCACGTGGAAGACGCCTGTGAAGCGCTGGTTTTCTGCGTGGAAGGGGAGAAGACGGCGTCGCTTAAGGGTAGGTTTCTGTGCGCAGCTGGCAGCCTGAGCGTGAGGGAAATCGCCACGTGTATCCGGGGCCGCCATCTCGACTGCCACGTGGATGCCACGTAAGAAGATGAGCTTGTTTGTTTGTTTTGTGGAGATGGTGAGTAAGTTTTTAGTGGTTTTTGAGGTTTGGATATTTTGGGCAGGATGATGGGCGAAGATGGGAAAGGAATCAAGCTGGACAATTCGAAGCTCGTGGAGATGGGGTTTAGGTACAAGTACGATGCAAAGGGTGTTATCGAGGAGAGCTTGGAGTGTGCCAAACGCCTTGGTGCTCTTCCTGACCTAGCTCGTTAGAGCTTTTTCGACGAAATTGGAACGGAGTTCAATTATTTCGTATGTCAGTCAGTTGGATACGAATGTCTGAAAGATCCGTTGGAATTGTGTATGATTTTAGAATTTCTTAAGAAATTCGAGAATTAGAAATGTCGTTTTGTAGTGAGTCGGATTGAAGGATGGTCGTTTCACTAGGCCGCTGAAATTGTGTCCTCGCTCCCGACATCGAGTTGAATATGTTTTGAAGGAGAGTAAATATGTGGCTAATTGTCTTGTTTATGTAGGTTATTGTTTGAACCTAACTGAGTGTAGGAGTGAGGTTCGAATGAGAGTTTGGGTCAAGAAGAAACGCGAGCGTCAAGTTCGATCGGGGAGAGAGGAATTAGAGAGTTGAGCGAGGACCGGAGTCCAAACTTTTAGAAAGAGAAGTAATTGTTATAGAGAGAGAATGGTGAAAAATGCGATCCCCTCACCCACCGTAGTAAATGCCGTATTTATAGGCCTCGTTGTGGTGGGTGAGTGGTTGACCCAAGTGGGGATACAAGATGTGACAATTGGGATACAATGATGTGACCACTGGCACATACTAAGGATTTTAGACCCTGTCTCGGCCATCCCCCTACCTAGGACGTGTCAGAGATTTGCCACTGGCCTTGATGTGACCACTTCCTGGGGAGGAAAGCTACGCCTCCCTCCTCTCTTGGCTTTTCCTGCGCTACGCTCTTTCTCAGCGCCTGTAACTCACATCGCGCACAAACTCTTCGCGCCAGGACGTAGTTGACTACGATGAGGTGTCGCGCTCGGGGTCTTCGCGCTGCTATGTCGGAGTCCATCCAGTTGCGTCCGTTCCTTGACGCGGCCAGGCCCGAGTCACATGCCCAACAATTGCCCCCCATCAGGGGGTGTTTTGCGAACACCTCCTGTTTGGATTTTTTCCTGAATGACTCGGGCCTGTGTGGTCCCCGTGATGCTGGTTTTTTTGGGTCTATTCCGCTCGTCGCGATCGGTTGGCTCCCGCGCATGCTCGCGTTTAGGTTCTTCGACGCGTGATATTATGAAACAGGGACGCGTTTGCTGGCGCGCGCCCGCGGTTGGACTCCTCACCGCGCTTAAAATAGGGCTTGGCTCGTCGCGCGCGATGTGTGGGGCGATTATGGGTACTCCGCGCGCTCGCGCGTTCCGCTCGCGCGTCGCGTGATACCCGGTACTGCGCGAAACATGTTTTTCTTTCCTCGCGGGTATATCTTGCCCCCCAGGCGATGTGTGGGGCGATTATGGGTACTCCGCGCGCTCGCGCGTCGCGAGATACCCGGTACTGCGCGAAGCATGTTTTTCTTTCCTCGCTGGTATATCTTGCCCCCCAGGCGGTGCGCGGCACTTGTGGCGTCGCCGACTAGTGCCTATGTTGGTAGGTATCCACGTGTCATTGTGTGGTTAGGTTTTTTGGGCGGGGATTTTTGAATTTCGAAAAGATTTGGTGGGATCTGACGGTTACGGATCCCTATGTTGCTTTAACCCTTCGCCTTCCGCTGGCCGACATTGGCCCCTTGCCTTCCCATTGGCCCTTTATTTTCCCTCCGACCCACTATAAGAATGGGTTGTTGTGAGAAGTAAGGATTCATCTGTTTCCTCTGATTACTGTTTCCCTCTGCTTTCACTGAGATTTGCTTCCTCTGAGATTTTTTCTCCTCCTTCTGCAACCTCGATCCTTCTCCGCTGTTGCCAAGTTTCGAGTCGACATCATGTCCGGCGTCAACAACAACAACGAGGCCGAGGTCGTGCAAGGCGAAGAAGGTAATTTCTCCCCTCTCTCGCACACTTCTTCTGACCGTTCCGGTGACGGGGACGGTGGTTCTGGGGGTTGGGATGACGGGTCTGACGGCGGACGTGACGGTGGCGACGGTGGGATTCCGGCGACGCCGTCATACGATGCCAGGTCCGGCGACGGTGTCGGAAGCTCCTCCGACGTGGGTGATATTCCCTCCGGCAGTGGGGAAGCCATGCAGCAGGCTCGGGGAGTGATGATCATCCGGCGTAATCCGGGTGGTCGACCGGTAGGGGCCGATGAAGTCATCGACGATGAGGTCACCGACGATGAAGTCGTCGATGATGAGGCCGCGGATGAGATGGCGCAAGGAGATATTGATGCGCAATTCGCGCCGCGCGCCATTGAGCGCGTTTCCGAAGCATTTGCCCGTCTGGGGGCGCAAGGCGTCGGCGCGACCTACCGTGTGATCGAGTGGGCCGAGATGTGGGGCGATCAGCCGGCGCCCTCGGACAACCTTAAGCGCGGACCCGAGCACTCCTCAACATACGACGTGGACGACGTGGAGGAGTTGGTCCGCGGGCTGGGCTTGCCCCCACATTGGGAGTACGCTGCCCCGTCGGTGCGCAGCATGGTGGGCAACTGCCCCCCTGGTTGGTTCGGCGTGTACACGGAATACTGGGTGATGGGGTTCAAGTTCCCCATCGATCCGCTGTTGTGCGCGATCTATGAGCGCCTCAAGTGTTCCGTCGGGCGGCTCTCTCCTTCAGTCATCATGCACGCGAGCTGCCTCCGTCTCGCGTGCAAAAGGCTCAACATCGAGCCTACGTATGGCTTGTTCAGGAAGATGTACAAAATCAAGGAGCCCACCAGGGTGAGCGACTGTCTTTCCATCCAGCGGCGCGACCACCGCCCCGAGGGTTTTGTGTATGGCTCGCCCAAGCTGAAGAAAACCTGGTTCGAGGAATTCTTCTATGTTAAGCCTACCCCCGGGCAATGGGCCAGCGGGACCATGGCGGAGCCCACCTCCTGGGAGAAGGGCAGTACGCATGGGTTCGAGTCGGACGTCGGGTTCTACGTCGGGCTGAACGACGAATATGAGGCTTGCATGCCTCATCGCATCAATTTATACGCCAAGGGAGTCCGCGAGGCCTGCTTGGAGGAGCTGTTTGGGGATGGTTAGTTATATTTTCCTTCCTTTGTATTCTATCTTATTAACCGCTCTCTTACGACTTATTGGCGCAGGTGTTGACTTCTCCAACATTGCCAGTATGATGTCGGTGGATGACGTCGCGCCCCGCGCGGACAAGAAGAAGAAGAAGAAGAATGTCGCGGTGCCTAAAGTGCCGAAGCGGAAGGATATCGAGCAGCCGGGCGCGCGGGCTGTCGAGAGGCCCCGCAAGACGATTCGCATCGTGGAGCCGACTCCTCTGGCGGTGAAGCAGACGCCTGCCGCGGTGAAGCAGACGCCTGCCACGCAGCAGCTGACCGCCGCACAGCAGCTGTCCTTAGCATTGTCGCAGCCGGAAGCGACGGTGACCAGACCCGCTCGTCGGGATGGGAGCGGAGCGAGCAGCTCCTCCGGGGCAACCACCACTGCCGCCCCCGCTAGCGCTACTCCCACTACCGCCGCCGTCCACCAAGTTCGTGACGTGCGGATTCATACGGCGGCGGCGTGCAACCTGGTTTCCGCCAATCATGCTCTCCGGGCGATCGGGCCCGTTCTCACCGTTCCTCCGCGGGTGAAGGAGACAGACCCTCTCCATGATCTGGCGCAGATCCACTTCGCGGTAAGCCCTAGTTAGATCTCCGTAGTTTAAGTTTTTACCTTCCTCTCTTCTCTTCCGTTTTCCTTTTTATTGCCATCGCATTTGGCTAAGGCTCGTGGCGTTGTAGGGTCTGTCGGCGACATTCCGAGCTCAGCAAGAGCGCGCCGCGATGCGCGCAAAGATGAAGGCGGACGAGGCGCAGATCGTCCAGCTGGAGGGGAAGGTGCTGGGGGCAAACAACCGGGCTGAAGACGCGACATCCAAAGCCAATGAGGCGTTGGAGTCGCTCGGCCTCTTGCAGAGCCGGTTGGCCGCGGATGTGGAAGCGGCCAAAGAGAAGGTGCGGAACGAAGAGCGCTCCGCCCTCCGGGAAGAATTGGAAGCCTCCTTCTCTGAGAAGTTGCGCAAGGCTCGCGAGGACTTCCAGAAGGAGAAGGACGACCTGGTCCGCCTTCATACCGTCGCGAAGGCTGAGGCCGTTCGCGCAGCCGAGGTCGCGGCTGTCCGCCAGTTCAAGTCTTCCCAACCTTTCGGGAAGATCATGGCGGATGCCATGACCAAGGCCGTGATAGCGGTCGGCAAGAAGGTTCGCCCCGAGAATCCAGGGATGCAGTGGGATACTCGCGACATGGTCCAGCACGTCAAGTCCTGGATCAGCGGGAAGCGTCCTTTGGATTCCGACTCCGAATCCGAGGAAGAGGAGGAAGAGGAGGAGGAAGAGGGGGAGCACCGGGAGGAGGTAGATCGTCCGGCCGGGGAGGAGGTTACAGGCGCCCGGAGGGATGGCGAGGTGGCCGATGAAGACGAGGATGAGGAAGAGGAGAGCCCCTTGGTGCGTCGCAAGTCAAGCAAGGAGGACGAGCAGCCCAACGCTGGCTCTGCCTAAGTGTCGCCCAGTTTTTCCTTAGCTGTTGTCATTGTTTATCCATGTGTAATTGCGAACAAGATTACTGCTTCTTCTATGATTATGCCAAGTGGCCCTCGATTGTGATTGCTCCTTTCTCTCTTTGCTTCTTGCGCGGAGGGTGCGCGGACTGGGTGAGCGCGGATAGTGTTGGGTTATCGTTAGCTCTTCGCTCTTTCGGACTAGGCGCGCATAGTACTGGACTACTGCTAATTTTTGTTCTTTCGAACCATGCCCTTTTGCGCGAATAGTGCTGGACTATTGCTAATTTTTGTTCTTTCGAACCATGTCCTTTTGCGCGAATAGTGCTGGACTATTGCTAATTTTTGTTCTTTCGAACCATGTCCTTTTGCGCGAATAGTGCTGGACTATTGCTAATTTTTGTTCTTTCGAACCATGTCCTTTTGCGCGAATAGTGCTGGACTATTGCTAATTTTTGTTCTTTCGAACCATGTCCTTTTGCGCGAATAGTGCTGGACTATTGCTAATTTTTGTTCTTTCGAACCATGTCCTTTTGCGCGAATAGTGCTGGACTATTGCTAATTTTTGTTCTTTCGAACCATGTCCTTTTGCGCGAATAGTGCTGGACTATTGCTAATTTTTGTTCTTTCGAACCATGTCCTTTTATTTATCGCGCTAATGCGCTGTTACAAACGTGGTACACGTTAATCGGCACGATGGTACTTCCTTAGATTCTGTGCGTTCCATGTTCTTGGAATCTTGTTGCCCCCCAATTCGCTGAGTTTGAATGTGTTGGCGCCCACCACTTCGCGAATTAAGTAAGGACCTTCCCACGTCGAGGCGAGCTTCCCGTGCCTGGGGTCGGGGCGGAAGTTCCGTCGCAATACTTTGTCGCCCAGGGTCAACTTGTGGGGGACCAGCTTCGCGTTGTGGTACTTGGCTACCTGTTCTTTCATTGCAGCTAGCCTGATGGCTGCCAACTCGCGCCTTTCTTGCGACAATTCGAGCTCTAGTAGGCGCGCCTCGTCGTTTGCTTCCTCGCTGTACCCGGTGATCCGGTAGGTCGGTATTGTCGTCTCGATGGGGATCACCGCGTCAGT